ATACTTAATTCTGACGTATGTAGTTACACCTATATGAAAAAGCAGTTCTTTTTTAAAAAAGCATACTTAATAACAGTCTTTCAAATCCATATTTAGATTCAAAATTGCACAGTAATTCAGAACCTGCCATAGGATTTAGCAAATATGTTGGGTGTTCTGCTGAAATTCAAGCTATTATTTAGGCACTGTACCGTATTTCAACATCTATTTAAAGAAATAGATTTGTGGTACAAAATTATCCAGTGCTTAAATGTAAATGATAGACCACAGTTTCTACTGATGCTTTCCATCTCTGTTAAGAGTTCACGCTACCTGCAACAAGGACAGAGAAGAAGAATGCGCTGTTGAGTCACAACCAACTCATGGGAACCCCATCCACGGGTATTTCAAGCAAAAGATGAGCAAAGGTTGTTTGTAGTAACCCCAGTCTTCCCTGGTGGCCTCCCATCCAAATACTAACCACGGCCAACCATGCACAGAAGCCAAAGCACCCCCCCCATTTTTGCCCTCAGCACTGGTATTCCGAGCATTACAGAAGGTTCAATTTAGCCATTGTGGCTAACAGCCATGATAAGCCTGTCTCTCGTGACTTTGTGTAACCTCCTTTTAAAGTCAATTAAACTAGTGGCCGTCTTATGGTGGTAAATTCTACAAGCCAATCACTCTAAAGCAGGGCAGACACATGAAGCTGCTTTGTACAGTCAACCCACTGCTCTATTTATCTTCAGTCCTCCAACTGGCAGCTGCTCTTCTCCAGGCCCTTTTCCAGCCCTTCCCTGGAGACAGGACCCGGGGGGGGGATTCAAAGCATGTGCCCGGCCACAGAGATCAGCCCCCTCCCCAGGCTGTCTGCAATCATATTATGCAAGCAGAACATTTTATAATCAGTTCAGAATTCAGTGCCTTCCACACCAACCGCCAGAATCTGTTCTTTAAAAAAGAAAAGAAAAAGAAAATACTATTTCCTTTAAATTATCTTTAAACTGGGAAGTTTATTAAACAAACAAGCCAAAGGTAAATCAATTTACAGTCATTATGTCTATCAGAAGGAAAGTGCATGTACATTTTATTCATTTTTGTTTTGGATTCCTTATACTGTTTTTTAAAAAATTCTTCTTATACTTCTTCATTTTATTTTATTCTGCACTTGTTTTCATTGATTTTAATGACAGACAGAATGCCACCCATGCAGCTGAGATGAAATTCTCAAGAACTATGCCCCTCGCCCAGTGGATCTTCTTTGATGAATTTCAAGCAGAAAGGGTTCCTCTTCATAGGCTATTGAATTTTTCAGTTGCCAAATGGGCACAGGAAATTGTGACAACATTGATAAGTTAGTTTCTTCTCATTTCCCACAATCTTCAAGGATCATTGTTCTCCCAGTCTTCTGTGGTGTTACCTGCCTTCCTTCTAGAGGGTACATGTGTGTCTCTTTCACTTCTCTCTCTCTCTCTTTAATTATTATTATTTTATTCAAAGATAAGTCAAATATACAGAAGAAACCAGGAAGCATAAACATTAATGCATTCAACACTATTACAACTAAGTGTGAACATATACACCTACAACATTTCGATGACTCTATATAGCTCAATGATCTACAATACTCACATCTTAATAGTAGGATACTAGGGACCATAACAAAGGTTATAAGGCTTAAGTCTCCTTCCCTTCTCAATGTACTGCCTGTCATGAGAAAAGGTAGCTTTTGCTTCTATTCCCCTCTCTCTGACAAAATGTTCTAATTCTTCTGATTGGAATTTACTTGTCAGATTATCTACAAAGTTAACTCTTTTAACCTTGCTACCCCTCTTGCTGGTCTTGCCTTTTTGTTGTTGTTGTTGCAAAAGCCCACAGCAAGTTGCCAGAATAGTCTTTTCTGAAGATCTATGGAATTTCCAGTTGGATCCAATGGTGGGAGGGCTCTAGCAGAGGAGTATTGCACTAAGGAAAGTCCATGATAGTCACATTAGTCCCCTTTCCGTTTGTGCAAGCTATTGCAGAAACCATTCCCGAAATGAACTATGCTCCCTCCTCCTCCAATCCAAATTAAACCTAAATGTTGAAATGTCTTTCTCAGTATAGGGATGTGATTCTATGACTAGACAGTGCCCTTTAGCACCACCCCTACATACCCCAAATTGCTTTCAGGTACACATAGGAATTTAGGACCCAGTTATCAATCAGGCAAATCTCAGGAGGTATCAGGTGTGTGAACAGGGCAGGGTCCCACTGGACTCTTCCTTATTCTGGAGCCTTCTGGCAATTTTCTCCCTTCCATGTGAGGGGGGGGGAAGACCAGGTTGATTGTGTTTGTGTAAAAAGATGGGGTGGGGGAGATGGAATGGAGCAAAAGTGAGACTGGATTACAGACAGCAATGAGACAGGCAAGAGAAGGAAGAAAAAAGGAAGAAGAATGGAGAGGGAGAAACTGGCAGGGACATAATGAAAAGAACATGGATATGAGTGGACTGAAGAATGAAGAGCATGAAGGCAAGAGAAAAATAGTGGAGCTCACAAAACTCTCTGTGACTGATTTTTTTCCGACAAACGTCTGCTCACCAGCACCGCCCACTGAAAAAGACTCAGCTGCACTTTGTGTTCTCCCCTCATTTCACTGCTTATAAAATGATTACCTCTGATGTATTTATTTATGTAACACACTTCAGTGCTCTCCAGATACGGTGCCAGAACAAACAGAAGCCAAAAGGTTGTGCAGCAGCAGCTGATCTCTCCATGTCTCTCCCCCCCCCCCCCCCCGCATTCCCCAGCAGCCTATGACTGCAGTGTTCATTTAGCCAAACACACGTGAAATGTAAAATTGAACAGGGAAGGGAAATGCATATTCAGACACCTATACAAACACATATCATTGTGGAGCTACAAGGGAAAATGCGAAAGCAGCTTTTGTCAGACTGGATTGTCTGGGGAAGAACACCAAACGAGAAGGTCCGAGATGGCTGCAGCTGAGCCAGTTGACCCCTTCCTGACCAAATTCCTTTTCATCTGCTCTCCTCCATAACCTTTCCTCTCTAGGCTCTTGTCAAGAGAGACAGCCACCTTTGCACTGATCAGCCTGAGTGTCTTAAAACATCAACATTTGTAAATTTAAAACAGCAGCTTATTTCCTGTTGTGCCATCCAAGCATGAAGAATACTGGGGAGAGTTTCATGTCAAACGCTTCAGGTGGGTAGCCGTGTTGATCTGAAGCATCAGAAAAAGAAATTGAGTCCAGTGGCTAGCTCATGGTTTTCTAGCCTCCGGCTCACACATTTTTGTCTTAGTTCAGGAAGGATGGATCCAGAGCAAACTGATTTATGCAGCAGCCAAATTGCTCACTGACAACTTTAATGCCAGTAGCTCACAAAGTAGAATTTTTGCTCACAAGACTCCACGGCTTAGAGGGAGCACTGGTTGCCTCCACTGTTTGCAGAAAATATTTGCCTCAGGAGTACATGGGAGTGGAGGCAGGAGTGGAAAAGTGAATGTCTAGGTCAATGGGTTTTCAAGGGTGTAATTCTGCTTTAAGATGGCACTATAAGACATGGATTGCCATCTCCCCGACTCCTCAGCTTTCCGAGCAACTCTGAATTGTAACCCCCAGTCTTATGCTTTCCAGTATCTCTTTGAAGACGAATGCAGGTTCACTTGTTAAATCAGCAAAGGACTCAAGAGTCTGGTCGTAAGCAAATCACTTTTCCAAGAGAGCCAACAGCATGCCATACTGCAGATCTATGGTTTGTTCTAAGATTTCTGTGCATGCCTGCTTATGGTAACTACTGCACATGCAAACAGGAGACAGGAGGCAATAATCTGGCACTAGGAGTTAATGTCATTTTAAACTTAGCACATAGCTAATTTCCAAATTACTGTATTTTATGCTAAATAGCCCACCTCTTGATTGTGATTGTCCAGAGATACCAAGCTGGATATACCGAGCTGTGTGGGGAAGGAGTCCTCTGAATTCAGCTATTCAGCGTGACACCACTGGACATCGTCAGGCCCTACCCCATGAGTCCCAGGTTTCGGATGGTGGCACCCTCCCCCCTATACTCCTGGCCCCTCCCTATAAAAAGTCTGGCTATGGGCCTGAGGAAAAGGCCAGAGGAACCAATAATCAGAGACAGATGGCATGGAGCCAGGAGAATTTGTAGGAGGGAAGAAAAGATAAAGGTGAGAAGGTGCAGAGTAGGGAGAAACAGGAGAAGAATGAAGGTGTGCAGGGGAGGAGTGAATGAATGAAAGAGACTTGACTCCATGATCCACAGAGATGAACACTTTGGTCTTTCCCTTTTGTTTAGAGATGCACAGAACAGTTCGTGCCGACATGGATTCAGCAGAATTATATGCATGTGAAGCAGGGAACATCCATCCTGCTATGCTGGCTGTTAGTTAAAGTCAACCGTTCAAGACACTGCTGTTTGCTCAGGCAGGCTGCAGAGACATCGCTCCTCTTCCCAGATGACGCTATTCCAGCACTTCTGCTGCCAAGAAATCCCCGTTTCCCAGCGCTAAAACCACCAGCTGTAATTGCTGGGAAAGTGCCAAAGATGTGGTAAAGACATCTACTGCCACTTCTATTTTCCCTTAAAAAGAGATTCTCTCTGTTTTCGCCCCAGGAGGGCAAATAGCAACCGTGATGGGTGACTGAGATCAGGGACGTTTTCTCTAAGTTGCAGAGAGAAAAAGTTAAACTCCTCCCTCCTCCACCATCTCAGCCCATACCACAGTGGGAGGGCACATCTGATATTGAGGGGAAAAAAACCAGAAATGTCATAAAACTCTTTTCGCAAATCTCCTGTATCTTTTCTAGTTTGACCCAGAGATTCCTGTCCCCACAACCACAGCTATTTCATGAGGATGTGTGGATGTGAGGATGATGGTTGTGCTTGGAGCTATGGCACCTGAAGGACTGTCCCTCCAACATCACTGCTCGATGCATCTCTTATGCCTGCATGTGTTCTTTGGCATGACCTGCCGATTTTCAGCTCTTCTCCCCACCCCCCCCATCTTTTCTTGAGAGACTATGCACTCATCCTCTGTGCCGTGCTGGTTGTACAGTCTACAATTTGCAGATAGGTCAGATTCCCCAGAGTGAAGCTGTCCCCCTGCCCCCTAGTACACCAGAGTGACGGTATCACTTCTTATGGCTTGGACTGATAAAACTGTTAAGAGGGGGAAGCTTTATCCCCTGGACAAAAGACCAAAGGCCACAGGTAGCTGCACACTGACCAAATTGTCTATAGGAGTGTGAGTCTTCCCCCAATGCTGTGCAGCACAATTTCTCAGAGCAATTCCCTTATATGACAGCAAGTTCTGGTGGATCATGTTGCCAAAGTCATTGTTCCAATTCATTTCAATGCTGCCAGTCCTAAATGTTTGTTTGCCAGTGTTGCACCTCAATGGCTTTAAACCTGGTTTCAGTATTAAAACATTCATTTAGGCACCGTTGTGAATGTGTTTTTGGTGCCACGTCAGCTGAGCTATTCCAGCACCATTTGGGAGAATGGCCTGTGGGGACGACTTGGACTACAGACAGAAATTCTCTCCCATTCCAGGTAATTGTAACAGGTTGGCAAAGCCTGCGGGAAATGACCATCTGTTAACAGATGTCAGTTTTGCTGGCTTGTAAGCACAGCTGGCTTAGTATCCCCTTGGGCAGCCTTGGGAGAGATGGATCTAACACTGTGAGGCTGCACATAAAGGGGCAGCAAGGACATGTTAAGCAAGCATTATGGCTCTTTTGGATTACTGATGTGGCAGTGATTTAGATTTGGAGAAATGGGGACAGCCTTGATTCATCGGCATGGATGCTTTGTCCCCCAACAGTAAGCCAGAGAAAGAGTCAGTTCACATCTGGATAGTTATTTTTTCAATAACCAGACCTCATTGCGTCGGCCATAGGGCTTCATGGGGGGATCATAGCCATTGCAAAAATAGAAGTCTTCATGGAAGGTTGCCTCATTTCCTAAAGTAGAAGTCAGCTTGGCTGCATAATTCACATAATCCCCTTCTTTGGCATAGCCTCCAAATTGCCTAGGAAACAAGAAAAAAATGGAGGCTCATGATGAGTGGACTGATCCCAGGGAGTAATGGAAGGATACGAGGAAGAAACAGAGCAACACGTTTCATTAGGTCAGCTAATGGCAACAAGCACTTTTCTGCAATGTATCTACTCTTTGCATGGAGGTGGACTTCTGAGCACAGCAACTGATTCAGGTACCAGATCTGGGTGCTGGTATGAATAACAGACTAGGAGACAGTCCAATCTGGTCTATTGGATGCAAATCTATCCATCAGATCTACTTAATGCAATTCTGCCTTCAGTCTCAGCAAAAAAGGTGGGCAATCAATAGAAGTAAATAAATACTAAATAAAATTCCCTGGGGCACTTCTCCCCTGCAAACCCCATTCAGATGAGCAGGAGTGGCACAATGGCATGGTTGTGGTCTCCTTCATTTCAAAGAGACTTGGGGAGAGGAATCACCCAGTAAATGGGGTCCTAATTTCCTGCCTCAGGCACCAACAGGGTTTTGGTCCTGCCCTGCCTCAGGTGCACTGTGCTCTGGATCCTGTAGCCTAATCATGGAGGAGAAAGGAGTGGCTGGCAGTTGGACCAGTCACTGAGGAGAGGGCTGAACAGTGTAGGGTTTCATCCCTTCCAACTTTCTGACTCTGCAATAATGTCTTCACAACAACTTAAGAGGCCTTTAGCATATCAGCAAAATCTTGACAGACAGGAGAACATATAAAACTGGTACAGTGCACCAAGAAGCAAATGTATTTGCTCAGCCCATTCTTTTCCACATCCTGTCCTACCATCTTTTTTTACCTAAAACTTCACAAAATAAATTCATCAGATCTGTCAAACAACAAATCTAGCCAATCCCTGGCTACAGGGGGGAAATAGTGGAAAGAGATCTGTCGGACTTCTGTGGGATGTGTGTGGGTTTTTTTAAAAAAAGATCCACTCCTATTTGCCCAGATGTCAGTCAGGGTTAGAACCAGCAATTTCAGCAGCAATTTCAGAAAATGTCAGTCAAGAGAACTTCATCTACCAGAACACCATAAAAAGCTGTTATCGTTAAGCTGATTGCCACAAAAGGAACATTTGCTGAGAAAGGCCTAATGCGACATTTCATGTCTGACGTTCCGAATGAACCACAGAGGCTGGTCTTTCACAAGCTTTTTGCTGTGCCCATATAATTAAAGTTGATTCCCAACCCCCCTGTCCCCAAAAAGAGACATTTGAAATATGGCGCTTGACAGCAGAATTCTTCACAATAATTTCAATGCAGTTCAGCTTTCCCTTGATATGAGAGTGACACCCAAAGGCTTGCTTAGGCCCTACAATCTGCAGCATCACTCCCCTGGGTGTTCATAGCAGGCAGAATTCATTCAGGTTCTCTCAGGCTGAGTTTAAAGGGACTGCCACACTGAAAGTGACAGGCTATCAATCCTCAATACATTTGTTCATGTCGCTAATGGATTTAGTATTTGAGACAGTGATGGAAAGCAGTTGCATAAGGGAGCAACCATGGTCTCCGTGGCATCTGAGAATAGCTCAAATAACCAAATATCTGCTCCTCAGGAATGGCTTCCTTGAGTGGCTTGAACCCTGGGCTTTCATGGCACAGGGTAGATCTTCACACAGATGTAAGACAAGTAAACAAGAGAGGGAGGAACTAAACCCCAAACATCCAAGTGTCTCACTGATACTAGAGGACAAATTAAATGATATGGTTGACATGAGTCGGGTCAGGGGAGCAGTTGTGGGGGGGGGTAGTTTGCCCCATTGTGGGGCTGCACGTGTACTGACTATAGCCATGTGGAGCTTCACAGTGGGGCAAACAGGCTGTTTTTGCTTGATAAAACAGTGTAGGCGGGAAGGCCATGTCATGCTCCTGAGCCAAACTGAGCTCCAGTATGTTTGAGAATGTTAGTTCCCTGATAGCAAAGCTGCTAAAAAAAAGTAAAGAACCAGCACTGGGGCTTTGTTGTGTAGATTTGCATGACATGTATGCCATGGAATTAGTTTCCCTGTGACCTACTGTTTGCACCGGAGCAAATGTTAGCTTCCCTGAGGTTCCTCTGTGGAGCCTCAAGAGAGGTAAGTGCTTCACATGTTCCAGAGCTGAACCCTGGTATTGAATACTGGCAACCAAGGCTGAGTACCTGGTCTCTGCCCAAAGGAATTTACAGTCTAAATATCAATAGTGTAAGCACAATAAACATGAAGTCCTGTTTTAAGATTGCCATGAAATTCACCCTACTGAATGCAGATATTTGACTTTTTCAGGGTTACTTTAGTTCCCGTGAAATTTTAAAAACCCTGTTTCATTTGTGCTAGAAAATAAGTGTGATACTTAATTGTCTCAGCTAGCTAGGAGCTCTGTTTAGTGTCCTATAGACAGCCAATCATCTCACAGCTAGCTCAGTAGTGGTGCCCAGTCTGTATCATGGCATATAACCCACCGGCGCCAAACCCTGGCTTGGGAAACCTACGTGGAGTAAACAGTCATTCCTTCTCTCTCTTCAATCTGGATTTCCTCATCACTGGGCAATGGAGGACTGGCCTGGAACTGGCTTGGGATGCGTAGCAAGACTTTCACCTTCTGTTGCAATGACCCATCCTGCCCAGGAAACACAGTGGTGCACACGGGAGCCATTATTCCCATCCCAGCTCCTAAAACAGAAATAGGTCACAAAGCCACCTTTCATCACAGAAGCAGCAATGATCTTGAGATCTCAGTCCCCCTCCACCACCATGTGATGTAAATTCACAACTCAACTACATGAGTTAAAGGGGAAATCAAGAACGTCCATAAAGCTTCTCACCCTGGTCATTGCTTCCTCCAACGTATTTGAGGAGTTTCAGAACTGCTTCATGTAAGGCCTCGTCAAACGGCTTTCCGGTGAGCTCAACAGTAGCAAATTTGCCACCGTCATACTCCCTTTCTTCATACGCTACATCATCCTGATAGTAAAACAAACGGTTGGGAATATCTTTGTTAGACTTGTCAATTGTTCTTTCTTAATGATTCAGAATGACAAAGAACACTAAAAAGCTCTGTAACATTAAAATAAATGCCCATTAAAAGACAAAGCCCATCAAAAGATAAAAGTTACCCCACTTAACTCCAGCCATTAATTATATGCCCAAACAAGGTCTTTATTAGGCTTTCAGGAAAAGATCATGATGAAACTGTAGTTAGTGTACAAAGAAAATTCATTATATCTCACACACCTTCTGGGGAAAAGCCGAGATCTGTTTCTGAGGAAGAGACCTAGAGCAAGCATCACACTTGCTGCCAAGCCAGGCTATGATTTTTAAACTGTTGTATATCTTATTAGTTGCATCTATAATGTATCAAGAATAATTTGTTGCTTGTAAGTTTATATTTGCTTTCATTATTTAAATGTAATGTGGAAAGCAATAAAATATTGATTAGCCTGCAGCTCTAAGCCCTGTTGTCATATTTCCGATAAATATGAACGGATGGTAAGACATGATAAACAACTTCTTTGGGCTGGGCCTCTTGAGACCTGTGCCTGGGGAGAACGCTAGGTTTGATAAGCAGCTGAGAAGACACTGATGGGGGGAAACACACACTGCATAATCCAAGCTGCTTTGGGCTATTGATTATTCTGGAGTGTCACAAAATTTATGGCCACAAATATGCTTTCTCTCACTATTTGAACAGGTCAGTATGTTAAGACTGCAGCTGGAAAAAGTTGCTGGCAAAAGTAAGGTATAACAAGAAACCTAGCAGTCAAAGACTCCAGCATTATGCGTTTGGAGACAAATTCTTTTAAGTATGGAATGTCCAATTAACTTTTGGACAATTACATCTTTCAGAAGGTGGAGAGAAGAACAATGGGACTGGCTCTCCTTGACTTGATGAGAACCAATAAGGAATGCTTGGTTGATGGAATGAAAGTAGCATGAACTTTGCCGGAAGGTGGCCACATCATGCTGGGATTCTTGATTATATGGAAAGCAAAAGGTGGATGGAGTCAAATAAGACCCCCAAACTTCAGGCAATCTGATTTAACAAATTTAGACAAAAGCTAGGTAGGATTCCCTGGCTAGATAATCTATGAGTTAAAGGACTCCCAACAAGAGTAAGACTTCCTAAAAATGGAATTAACAAAGGCAAAATCACAATCAGTATTACTGATGGAAGAAAAATGGGAGCTGTCTAAAGAAGCCAATATAGGTATCTAAGAAGCCAAGTGGCCAGGTGGAAATCAAAAGGGACATGCATAAGAAATGGGAGAAGGGGCAGGTAGTAGGTGTGTCTATGATGAGTTGCTCAGACTCAAGGCCAAACTACTGCATTCCTCAGTCCACCATGGGGACACAATTTCATTTTTGGTCCCTGCTGCAGGGTTCAATCCTTCTGGGGACCACAGGATGCAGAATTGAGGGGCTCCTGTCCTCCCTTCCCCCATGCCATTTTCAAGAGCCAATGTTTCAACTCTTGAAAATGGCATGGAGTGGACAGGAACCCCTTATTCCCCCTCACCGCAGTTCCCAGCAGGAGGATCTTTGCCTCAATTTTTTGAAAAGTTAAAAAAATACCAGAGACACAGTATCGCCTAGTTTGGCCCCCATAGCGACAGTGTTGGTAAAGCTAAAACTAACATTGACAAGGGACACTGAGAACAGCAAAAAGGGTTTGTTACCTACTGTGTCTGAAGGAAGAGGTTAGGCCCCCTGCTCAGTGAAGATGGTGAAATGTTAACAGGTTAAAGAGAAAAGATGAAAGTACTCAACTCATTTTACCTTTATCACCTCCCAAAAGTGAATTTTGTGCAACTCTGCAGAAGTAGTATCTGTGGTGAGGGTTGAAGCTCAAAATTGCTAACAAGTTGGCCAGGGAATACCTGGCTTCTTTGAATGAGTTAAAACCTTCAGGACAGATAAACTGCATACTGAAATAGCAAAAGAACTTGCTGCTGTACTCAGAACCTCTGGCTATCATCTGTGAGAAATCCTGGAGGACAGGTGAGGTGCCACAAGACAACAGATGGGTAAAGGTTATTCCTGTCTTACAAAATGCGGAAGCAGGAAACCACAGACCACTCATTCTGCCTGATACCATGGAAGATACCAGAACAGATGATAAAGCAGTCAGTCTGTAAGCATCTTGAAAAGAATGCCATGATTAGTAAGAAGCCAGCTTGGATTTGTCAAAAATAAATCCTATCAGAGTGCTTTTATCTCTTTTTTAAAAATCAGGTTACTAGCTTAGTGGTTTAAGGGGATGGTGTGGATGTAATATATATCTTGATATTACCAAAGCATTTGACAAAGTTCCCCATAATATCTTAATTATGTGAGCTTTTCAACATTTTTTATCCATAACCTGGATGAAGGGGTGGAGCAAATCCTTCTCAGGTGTGTAGATGGCACAAAACATCTGCGAGAGGCAGGTGAGAGAGACAGCTAACACCTGAGAACTTGGACCAATTTCACACAAGAGCTGCGCCGCAGTCGCACCTCCCTTTGCCCCACTTCTATTGGTCAATTTCCCACGCAAAGCCACACGGCCACATTTTGACCTGTGGCTTCACCCAATTTTCCCCGCAGTTTTGTGGTCCTAAAAAAACCAGGATCATGAAACCGCGGGGAAAAGCGGGCGAAGCCACGGGTCAAAATGCGGCCACATGGCTTCAAGTGGGAAATTGACCAATAGAAGCGGGGCAAAGGGAGATGCGACCACGGCGCAGCTCTTGTGTGAAATCAGTCACAATGTTTATTTTCTATACTTAGATTATCTCTGTATACATGTAGGGGGTCTTAATATGGTGCACTTGTGCTTTAATTTATCATTTGCTGTATGCTGGTCCCTGCCACATGGCAGGAAAAACGACGGGCGAAGCGCAGCTAATCTGAGCAGCACCAAAGTTGAGACGCCGCGGTGGGATCCCATGGATCCCCTGAGCCGCGGCGCTGTGGCTCCCTGGCACAATCAGATGCCGAGAAAGTGATGGTGGGAAGGGGAGGCTGGCGAACTGCACATGCTCACACATGCGCAGTTCGGCCAGGAGCACGGTATGCGCCGGCGCAAGGACGCGCCAGCGATCCCACAGCCGCACTTGCCGCGGCCCTTCAGGATGAACCACCCAGGTAGGTGGTTCTTTTTTGGTTCGGAGTTTTGGGCGGGAGGGACGGATCGGGGACGGCTGGGCAACGCTTCCCAGATGTTGCCGTGGGATCGCGCCCATTTGCCGCGCATCCGTTCCGTCCCTCTCCCAGCCCATTTCCTCACGTGTTACCGGGGCCATTGTATAGCTTTCTTGGTTTCGTAAGTCACTGCAAATATCAGGTTTGGTGGAAAGGTGGATAACAGAGTTCATATAAAAGAGAACATAAGAGTTGGATTCTACCAGATCCAAACGTAATGCACTTGTGCATATGGTCCTACCTCCCCCCTCTCCCAGTCGCTCCCTTTTGACCACCAATAAGTTTTTTTTAATTAAACAAAGTATTTGTCCATTGATTCAAATTTAAAGGGGTCTCCATAATTTCTAAAGCTATTTTCTCCTTTTCCCAAGTCAAGCCAGTCTCTTCATTAACTGGCAATATTAGTTGGCTGACTGTCTTAGTTTCCTTAGATGATCCCAATAAAAGATCTTCACTCCTATTTGAGAGATGAGCTACCGAGATGTTCTTCTCTAGAAAATTCATTTGTTTGTTTGATTCCTTTTCCCTACTTCTATAGGAAGTTCCTACTTGGCTTGTAATTGCTGTCTTCGGAGGGTTTCCAATGTGATCCTGAATTATTTTAAGCTGATTTGCAATTTCATTAAGTCGTTGAAAAACCTCAATTATTGTCTTGGCTATGAGGCGACCACCAATAAGTTGATGCTGGGGAGTCAGGTGAGTCTTGTGAACAAAATGCCCTGGGGCTGTAGGGAGAAGGGGACACTGGGTGAAACACCCCCCTGCCACTTTTTACATCAAGGGAAGTGCTGCTATGGGAAGAAAGAATTCAGGGACAATTTTGCCCTATTTCAACCTTTTCCCTGAAGCCCCCTGTGCTCCATAGCATTTTGTCCACATACTGTAACTCACCCCCCCAGCATCAACTTTTTGGGACTGAAAGGGGGTTGCTGTGGGGGTGGGTGGGAAAGAGCAGAATCCCTACAAGCAGCACATCAGCAGAAAACAGAACAGGCTGGCCTAGGACTTATTACCCTGTTGCATTAAATCTGTTCCTTAACTGGGGGAAGGATTAAAAATGGCACCCCCACCTGTAGCTTGAAGTGGTACGATTCACTCTGCCACCTCAGGGTTCCATCACCTCATTCTCTTAAATGGGTAAAGCACCTCTCAGTAAACTATACTGGCCAGAAAGTTGGGTTTGGAGCTTAAACGTAGAGTTGAAACTCAATCAATCACTGAAATTCACTGTGTAACCCCGGACAAGTCCCAGGGCCAAAGATGATACATCCACAGGTTTAAACACAGAATTGCCTCCATCATGGAACATGTGTGTATTTTTAAAAGCAAAAAGAGATGCTCAGGTGAATCCTCTATACCCACACCCACACCATGTTTTTCTCGAAGCTACAATCACTTCCAGCATCAGAGAGCTGTCTGGGAGAAAAGGGCGTGGAGAGAAGAGCTGCAGGAAACAAAGCCATAACTGGAGAGAGCATTCTGCATTCACTATCATATTTACACTGTTCTCTCCTCAGAGGTTAAGACACTGAACTGCAGGCTGGAAGGTCGGTAGTTCAGCAGTTTGAGACCCTAATGCCGCGATATGGAGTGAGCGTCTGTCTCTGGCCCCAGCTCCTGCCAACTTAGCAGTTCGAAAGCAAGAAATCACAAGTAAATAAATAAGTACTGCTTCGGTGGGAAGGTAACAGCATTCCGTGCGCCTTGGCATTTAGTCATGCCGGCCACATGACCACAGAAACGTCTTCGGACAGCCCTGGCTCTTCAGCTTGGAAACAGAGATG